CAAACAAAAGCATTCGGATAAAAGAAACAACACAATTAAGTGCCTTTAGAGAGTTTCTGAACTTTATGCTTCAATGATGCAACCAATTCCAGCAAAAAAAATAGCAGAGAACAGCAAAGCATAGTATATTTACAGGCGCACAAAGCTACATAACAGCGAAATGCAATTTAGGTACTCGACGGGCAGAACAAACTTATGTACATACATACATAAATTTGCACAATAATTTGCATATGCACAGTGACTCAAACAAACGACCACGTGTTGATTTTTATTAAATATTCGTAATTTGTTTGAGGTTTTATTTTTTCGTTATTTTTCCATAAAAATATTGTCTAAGCTTCAAGCAAAACCATATAAATCACAATTTAAAACTTTATAAAAAATTTAAAAAAATTCTAAAAATTTTCATAAAAATTTCAACTTTTTAATGTGCATCTTTAGAACAATTTTGGGTATGCAGTTTTATAGCCCATACAATTTTAGTAGTAGAAGTGCAAGTTTCAACGCGCTAAAAAATCCCGTTGATTTTTGAGATTTTTTTTTTGGAGACTGTTTTTGCGTTTGAAAGTGAAAATTTTGATGAAAATTTGTTGAGTTTTCTTAAACTTTTTATAAAGTTTGAAACTGTGATTAATATGGTTTTGCTTAAGGCTTGGCTAATATTTTTATAGGAAAAGACCAAAAAAATTTACCCGAAAAACATTACGAATATTAAAAAAAAAAATATTAGCACGTCATTATTTGTTTGAGTCACTGTAGGTATACACGTACGGTCGTGTGTGCTACAAGTGAATGACCAGCCAACTGCATCAGCCCAAAAAGGCGTAGAAACAACAATACGCTGCGGTCACATGTCAGCAACTTTTAGGCAATGGAGAGCAGCATGCTACTAACTGAACAACAATAACCGCTATGTTTAAGACAACAAACAAACAACAAAGTGCATAGAGAGTAGTTTAATAACACATAAACAAAAAAAAAAGCGCTGTTGCAGTTGCAATGCATATAAATTGGGCGCCCATTGTTGCAGCTTCATTGGCGGCAAATGACAATAATGCGCTAATAAAAAATGCTGCAGTGAAGAAGCAAAAAACAAGCGACTGGAATTACAATAAACTATGTGTGGCATGCAACTCAGTGCAGGAGCTTATGCTATGGCTATAAAATATGGCTGAATATGTATGCTAGTCGGGCCGCAGCTTAAATTTGGGCCTTAAACTATCGATTTTCATTAAATAACCTAAACTGTTAACAAATGTTTCAGAGTGTAAGAAGCTCCAAAGGCAGTCAACAAAGTCGAATATAGTTAAGTGCAGCATTCTTTTGAATAGATGTGGTGTTAAAGAGATGCGTACAATGCAACAATATGACTATTTCCTTTATAGGAACTACTAGCTTTTGCAATGCTTTCAAAAAAATTTTGGGTAAAATGGAAGATACCACGATGTAAAATTTCAACTAACTGAGCTAAATTTTACATTTAAAACAATAAGCAAATCTCTATCCTTTGTTACCCATACTAAAATGTTTACTTTAGCTTGTTAATTAAATTGATTCTTTATTTCTAAATGGCAACCCTTTTCATAAATAACTAAACCCAACTAAAGTCTTCTTAAATCATTTTCCATTGACCCCTATGTATATTAAACGGTTTCTAATAACTTAAAAATTTAATTGATTTTAATTTAATTTAAAATTTTGTTTTACCTTTTTGAGCAGCTGTCAACCCTATTCAATAATATTTTACAAATAAAGCTCACTTATATCTCTCTCGTTTGACACCCATATTTCAAATATTTCATTTAACTTGTTATTTAAATATATTTTTAATTTCAGAAAAGGTGGCAACCCTCATCAAAAGTATGTTCGGAATACAGTTTTCTTAAATCTCTCTCGTTTGGCACCCACATTCAAATACTTCAACTTGCTGGTTAAATTAAATTAACCCTTTTGAACAGGTGGTAACCCTTTTTAAAAAATATTTCTATATAAATAGTTTGAATATATATATATTTGCATATATTTACATAAAAAGTATTTATTGAATCAAAAAATGGTAGGTAGGCACTTTGGCCAATGGTAACACCGGCACACAAAAAAAGTGGTATGTGCATTTAACCAGAGCCACCTACCGACATGTATTTCGACCCGCTTTTGTCCGGATATAAGGTTCATTTGACTCGTCAATTACGAAAAACAGAAAAACATGCAAAAAATGCGCAATTAACTCGAAATTTAGGAGGTGAACGAGTAAAACGGACCTCAGATTCGGATTCAGTGAGTCGAGATACATGTCGGTAGGGCTGGGTCTGGTTAAAAGAACACACCTTTTTTTTTTTTTGTCTGTGTGCCAGTGTAATCATCAATGATCACCTCTGCCTGATTGTAAGTCATGCAAAGTCCGCAAACGCTTGAAGCGGCATCAAATTATTACTTAAGAAAGTTTTATTATATGGCAATTGAGAAGTGCATATGTATGTGAAGATTTCATATATTTCATAAAGGAGATTTTTGCACTTGCAGAAGTGCATAGCATGCACTTAGGCGCTTGATGTTAGTAGTCGCCGAAATGCTGGTAATGAACCCAAACGTTCAAATTTATAATGTGTACTTATTAAAAGGATTTAGCTAAAAGTATAGTGCAAGTTGCATTTAACCCATTTCTTTATAATCAATTTTATTTAGCTAAGATTAAAAAAGAGCCTACACTCTTAAAAGCTGATAATACTCGTATACAAACATTATAAGTATTTTTCAACAACTTTCGCCTGCGAAAGGTGGCACAGTGGTCGTTTTTGTACACATCATGGCCTGCCGCACAAAGTTTCAAACATAAAATTGTTTTTGTAGTTGCCATTTACATAGCTGTGTGCTGTCTGCTATATTGCTAAATACTTATGTATGTACGGATGTGCATACCTGCCTGTCAATGTGCGATACAAAATAAACTACAACTGACCACAATTTTCCATGGAAGATATCCGAGTAGCATACAAAGTGATATGAAGTGACTCCATGCAAATGCAGAAAAAATTATCAATTGATAAAAAATAACCAACTTGTAGTTAGCTTTTTTTGCGGGATTTCTATAAAATAAGCTACTTTTAGTTAGCTACAAAAAGCTGAAAACGTTTTCTTTAAACGAGTTTCTAGTTAAATATCTTCATACAAATTTTACTTTGAATACACTTTCTTCCTGCACTTCACAAGTACTTTTTCGAATTGAGGAAATAAAAGGAAAGTCAAAGTTTTATATTACTATCTGACGGAGTTCGAATATGCGACCACCTACAGCAGAATATGTAAACAAATATGAAATGCAATAAAATAAAGTAAATAAGTAAAAAAGTAGAAAAAAAAATTTTTTCCTATTGATATGTTATGTCCAAAAGTATCTAGTTAGTTACAAGTTAGTTGACATAACCACCCTTGATTATTTCGTGGCCATCGCCATAGAAGTATAGTTAGCGTTCCTTAAAGAAAATATGAACACAGATAATAGTGACCTTTAGTTCCTTCCTAATCAACTACAAATTATCTTATAGTTAGATATATTTCCTGCAGGGTATGTACATATGTACATGCATACTACATAAGCACCTATGTGCATCGTTACAACCATCTCAGGTGGAGTTGTACCTACACGTGTCTGGGTTAATAAAGTTTTGTGCAAACAAAGGGCCCACACATATCTGTTTGTGCAAATATTTATACTCAGGTACATTAACATATGCATATGTATGTGTGTATGATTGCGTGGTTGCACTGTGTGTATAGCAGTCGGCCACTTACAGCCTGTCATTGCTCATCTTGCTGTTGCTTGCAATTTTAATTGAGTACTTAGCAGCGGCTATCTATATATCTGTACAAGAGTATAGTTGGCACAGTGCTGCTTTTGTAGTTTTCAACTTTTCCTTTGCACTTTGCGGTTAGTTATTTGCCACTTCAACGTGCTCTTGCCAATATTCAGCTATGGCTTGAATTTAAAGCAATCGAGCATTTTAGTTAAATTAAATTTCATAAATTTTATACAAACTGGTTAATTTTTTTTTTTTTTTTATTATTATGCCAATTTATTGCAAGAGAAAACTGCAGAGTGATTTCTTGACAAATTTATTGTGGTTTAAAGGAAAGTTATGTGGATACTAATAATTACACAAATATATTGCACACGATCTTCAAAAGTGAAAAAAAGATTTATATATCAATATACGGGGCTGTAATCGAGGCGACTTAAATTCCTGGGGCCACGTTTCTTCACCAGGCTGGCAGAGATAGCAGAGATGGAATATTTAGACCTCCTCAATTTCTTGTGGGATGGCAATGCATTGATCGCTTTTGTTTTTCTTTAAGAGAAATGTGCATTAGGGTGGTACAAAAAAAAGTAAAGTCGGTATTTTAATGCTTTATTATTGGCGGTCCATTGAAGAGAAGCAAAGTTTTCCATACCTATATTCTATACCATTTTTTTCGAAAACTTGTTTTTTTCCATACAAAATACATGGAAAACTTTGAGTCGCTTGACGGCCTCTAAATATATTTTTATTTCAAAAAACAAAAACAGGGGTACAATTTTTTTTTTTAGTATAGAACAATCTTAGTAGGTGAGAGCATTAAAATTCCGACACTACTTTTTGACGTGCATTTTTTTTTTGACCACCCTAATGTGCATCATCTTGCATTTCATTCACATAGGGCACTCACAAGGCAATATTATTTATAGAACTATTCATATACGCCCTCCTAACCTAACCTAACCTAACATGACGTCATTGTAGATGAAATAGCGGCATTCAAACCGAGCCAAAAACGGTCTAAAATTTACGAAACGATGCAGAATTTCTACTTAGCTGCTCAGCTTTTTTGTTATCGCCTGAACAGCAAGAAATTAAATTTATATGTAACCCGAGCATTTAACACTTGAATTAGTATTACTAACGCGAATGAAATGCGAAACTGATAAGCAAACACTTGTACTCGCCCTCCTCCACTGGGCATATAAAAACAAAGCATCTGCTCTCCCATTGCAGTCAGTCAATTCATCAATCTGTAAGATGTTACACTTCAGGAAGCAATTTGTATTAGCGTTGCTGATTAGCGCGCTGCTATTAGTAAATGTGATTAGCGCTACAAATAGATCGAAGAGGAATGCAAACGATGCTGATTACTTGACTATCATTTTGGATGAAACAATGCGCAATTTGCTAAGGCAGTGCAACAAAAGTGCAATCGCGGAAGATTACAAAAGGTGTGTAGTGGAGAGCAGTCCCGTTTTCCGGTTGGCTTTTTTTTAATTTCAAAGTAAAAGTTGAATTTTTCCTACACAAATTTCAACAGCCATGCAGCGCAAACGCCCATTACATTGAAGCATTTAAGCGATCTGATGGAGAAAACGTAAGTCAAGTTCTATTAATAAGTCTTTTAAATATTTAATAAAAATAAAGCAATCTCCTCTCCACACACCTCCGCACAGCATGCGCGAGTTAAGTGACTCCTTTACGGCACGCCTCCTGCAACGCTTTCCCAAAAGTTGCGCAGATATACTGCCAGTTGGTGCGCGCGATCGCGACGGGGTCTACAGCTTACACATCTCTGGCTTTACGCCCATCAAAGTCTATTGTTTAGCCGATGTAGCCGGTGGCTGCCCTTGGACCGTTGTGCATAGGCGGCAAGACAAAGAAACGGACTTCAACCTAAATTGGGCTAACTACAAGACGGGCTTCGGTGATCCCTACAATAGTTTCTTTGTGGGCATGGAAACGCTTTACTGGCTGACCAGCGATGCACCACAGGAGTTGAAAATTGTGATGCGCTTGAATAGCGACAGCATGGAGGAGATAGCGCACTACGATCACTTTGCTATTGGCGATGAGGGGTCGCAGTACGAATTGAAAGCGTTGGGTCGATTTAGCGGCAATGCAGCAGATGAGCTAACCCATTTGATTGGCTATAAGTTTCGAACGAAGGATCGCACGGGTTATTGCATTGGCAAGGAGAAGGATGGCGGCTGGTGGAAGGAGGGTTGTGATAGGAGGTATGCAAATCGTTAGATGTTGACATTTTAAATTTGTTTTCCGTGTGCTTTCAGTAAACTAAATGGCATTTATGCACCTTCTAAGTGGGAGATACCACATCAGGTTGGCATTATATGGGATAACCGTACCACGCAGGGCTTAAATTACTCGCTAGAATATGTGCATATGGCAGTAAGGCCGAAGTTTTGTTATTCAATTAGCTGAAAATTGTGTGCGTTAAAATTATGTTTTAATAAAAATACCTTAAAAAGGCTATTCACTCACAATTAGAAAATAGGTGTCAACGAAAGCGAGCGAAAATGAGCAGCTTACATAGCATACAAGGAAAAGTTACTATATACTTAAATCTGGCGAAAATAACAGCGTGCATATGGGCATACATATGTAAGCTCTGTATATCCTTAAATACCAACTCTTCAACATTTATTTCGCTGTAATATCAATGACCAGCGCTATTAACATGAAGGGCTTTAAAAGATAATCTTCAATAAAGGTTAAGTGCCCACTACTATTTTTTAGTACATACGTACATACATACATATATGTAGCCAAAGACATGATTAAATAAATGTTAAAGTGATTTTAAAGCTTTGCAGAATTGCTTCGCCATTCAGCTCGTTATCACTGCATCCGAGTACCACATGGATATATGTGCTATGTATGTGCATTAGGGTGGTCCAAAAAAAAAGTTAAAAATTTTAAGCTCTCACCCCCAGCATTTTTCTAAATAGAAAAAGAATTTTGTTAAAAAAAAAATATATATTTACTTAAAACTGCCTCAACGCCCTTGAAGTTTTCCATATATGTAAGTTTTAATGAGGGAAAAAACAATTTTTTCCTATAAATGGTATAGAATTCTTTGAAAATCAATATTTTTTTTATCGGAAAAACGCTGTTTCTCCTCAGGGGACTTCCAATAATAATACCCAATTGTTTATTTTACCATTTTTTATAGTAACGATTTTTTATGGGTCCCCCTTGCATTTTTCGGTTTTTGAAAGTCCTTTAAAAAAAGCTAATATTAAAAATTTGTTAAATAAACAATTGGATATTGTTATTGGTAGTCGCCGAAAGGGAAACTGAGTTTTTCGATCGAAAAATATGTATTGATTCGAAAGAATTCTACATATATCATTTCTACGAAAAAGTGTTTCCTAGGTGGTGAGAGCTTAGCATTTTAACCCCCCAGGCATGAATTTTCGGACCACCCTAATGTGCACAGTACACACTGGTGATAAGCGCAATCTGCACTTTCAATCGAGCGACCCACCGACCAACAAATTCTAACTAGCCAAGCAGCCGACTAAGCGAATTCGTAAATAACTTTAGCGTTCAAACTTACGTTAAGCCAATCATAATTTTGGTTAGCAGCACTTAAGCACGATTTCGATGCATTCTGCTTTCACTTTCCCTTTGCTGTTATTATAGCTTTAATGGGTTTAAAACATACTATTTAAAAAAAAAAAAAACTACCTACATACATGCATACAAACCCTCCTCGCTTTTTATAGTTAGTAAAGGCCACTCGCAAATACATTGTGGGCTATCGACCGCCTGCGCAGTAAGCCATATCTGCTGTTGCGAATTGTAATTGAATTTAATTTGTTGCTGCAATGAGCGTAGAAATTTCCCACAGCGCAAGCTATTATCACTCAACTACAAGGTGCCGCAAAAAGTATTATCCGATTTTCCTTTGCCGTCATTTCAAAAATAATTATAACTTGTATGCTTAGCGGCCATCAGAGTTGATACGGATTTCGGGTATTTTTATGACATTTTGCATTAGGTTTGGCAAACGTAGATAGTCGAGTTCTCGGCATATGTTGTTCTTGATGATCCGGAGGGACTAAGGCTTTACGTAGACCAGCCCCTTTAAGTAACCCCATAGAAAGTAGTCTGGAGCCGTCAGATGAGACGATCTCGACGGCTAACCGAAAAGCTCTAGTCGAGAAATCAAACGGTCTGGAAAAGTGAGTTCGAACAATTTTTCCAGGTTCTGGTAGTGTACAACTCTGCATTTATAAGCAAAATAAACTATTTGCGTCACCTTGTGTTTATGCAACTAAAGCAACAAGTGGCAAAACAATATATGTAAATAGGGACATAAAAGTATAACCGCTGATTTCATCAAACAGAAATTACGCGTTTACCTCACGAGAGGACTAGTTGTATGCAATGAAATGAAAAGAGAAATACTGGAAAAATACGATACAAAGTCTGCATGGCATTAGGTAGATATCCGAGAGTAAAGTGGACTATTTCAGAGATGCCGCAATAGTGGACGATAGGTTAGGTTAGATTAAGGCGATAACCCCTAAATTGGACTCTTTTAGGCTTAGTTAGTGCCGTTTAAGAATAAATATCTGCAGTTTTCGGGTCTTTAAAGAACAAAGTTCCTTCTACTGTTTGAAAATTTACCGGGATTTGATAAAATGATTAGATAGGCGAAAGTAAAAAGACATACTTATATATGTAAGTGTTTCGAGTAAACCAACACCCTGCTACCCCCATCTTGAGCTCCGGTTCATCTGGATATAACTCTTTTGGCGGCATCTGATTCGCAATCTTATATTGTAAAAGGAGAACTAGAATGGCTTAGAGCCCATAGAGTGACAAAGAACACAATTCGAGTGAAGTGTCACCGAAGTCATTATGTAAAATGTTAAATTAGAACACTGAAAAATTTATTTGTTTTGGTTGTTCTTGTTGTTCCGCCACAGAGTATATCCATTTGCCTCGTTTTCATATACCGACTTGGAGGGCCTCAGGCCCAGCGATAGTGTATATTGGTAAGGCGACCAAAACGATATTTGTGTGTGGACCCGGCATGGACTCTAAAGCGCTCAAATGATTGGCATCGTGTAGACTTGGCAAATTACTAGCATCAGACTGGATGGGAAGTTGCTGCTGTTTAACTGGCAACATCATATCTACCTGTACGTACCGTACGTGCACTCAGTATTGCCAGGTACTCGGCATGAGAACACACTCCCACTAGGTCCGAAAAAATGTCATTCGCCCCCAAAACCGTTGTTTTTCGCATCTACTATCCATAAAGCATGAATTGGATTAAGTAAGCTTTTGATATGTAGTCGTATGTTTTAAAATATATTATGTTATAAAAAATACCGGAAATTGTTTGATTTTCACAATAAAAAATTATATTGTCGCCTTCGATTTAGATCTCTTAGATAAAACGAACTTTGCGTGTATGGCTTCAATCGACATAGAAATATGTTCATACATAGAAGATTGTTGCATAATAGATTCGTTTCAGGCAAATACGGTGGTTGATCGGAAATGGAACGAATTTTGAAAGAATTTCGGAAGCCTGAGAACTATTATACGCTAGATTTATGGCTCTGTTTGCGTGGGCATACTTAAGCGTGTGAAAATATTGTACGCATGGATGAGGAGACTCCTGTGTGAAAATATCGTTCGAAAGGGTGCCCATGAGCGCAATGCAAGGATCAAGTGCAGAAAAACTTGTCCGCACACATGATGTAAAACTGGCCCAAATTCGCGTAGGAGAGAGGAAATTGTCGAAGTTTTATTGTCACGGCACAAAATTGGCGAACGGTTGTAGAGTCGAACAAGAAGAAGAAGGTCAATAATTTAAGTTGTCCTTCGAAAGAATTTCATTACCAAAAATTCGGGCTTTGTTTAAAAAAAAAACTTCATATCTAACCCAAAATGTGTCTTAGCGTCAACAGACAACCAACCACGTCGAAATAACGTTGGCTCAAACATTCACTCAAAGGGTGGAGAGAGACGACGTTCAAATATTAGAATTTACAAAGCATGGCTAGCACTTAATGAAACGCGTGGTGTTTAGAATTTTAGATGCAATATTTTATGACAACTTTATTTCACGTAAATATCTACATATTTTTGTTTACGTCCTGCACCTATAAAAAAAAAAAAAAATCCACGCAGCCATTGGCAACCAAATACTTAAACTCAACCACAAATCCACTAAGCAATACCGTTAAGAAGTGTGTCAAAATATTCTGGTGTTCCCCATTTATACTATGCGTGGCATACTAAAATTTACGCGTTTTACGCTACTTGAATTTTAATGAAAACACATAGGGAAGAAAGCATACAGAAAAACATGAATTATAAAAAAAAAACATATCGAGCGACTCTGAAATGGGTTTCTATGTATAGAAAAGCTGTGTGTGTTTCACTTATCTCTACGAGAGATACAAATTCGGGCTTTTGTGTCATTTAAAATCACTGAAATTGCTGCAGCTGTCAAATGGATGACAAATGTATTTATTTTATTTACATTTTGTTATTGTTCTATGGCTCATCGATATGCTTGGCCTGCATTGATTTTGCAGGATCTCAATAAATCGCGTTTTTTTTTTAACACTCCTTGACAGACCTCTAACTGATTTTATTTTGAAATTCAGCTCGGGAAAAACAAAAACGGAAGATTACTTCCTAAAGTCTGAGTCGAATTTAAAATTAGCTACTAGTTATATCCAAATATTAGTTGCTATGTTTATTAAATGAGAGTGCAATGAAGAAAATCGCTACTGAAGAACTTTAGTTTTACAACTACTCTGTAAACAAACAAAAATATAAGATAGGGCCTTTCTGTGTGTAGGTTCAGCGTGACAAGAGTTGTTGGGCTAATTTCACGAGTTGTTTTTTTAGTGTCACTCTCTTCTCTCGTCAAAGAAAAAAACAAACGCTAAAGCATTCTTATTGCACTTATTGCAATCAGTGGAGTTCCAGAAAAAAAGTACAATAAAAAATAAATCAAGTATTTCAAAAGTTTTAGCCTTAAAATATTTATTTAGGCGAAAAAGTGCCGAAATTACTATTTTTTCATTGTCGCTTGAAAAAATTTTAAGGATTTTTTTTTTTTAAACCTTTTGGAAGTTTTCAAATGGAATGTTCATATTAGAGGCAATGAAATTCGGCATCAAATACAGCATATCTGTGCAGTTTCAAAAGTGTGCCACCCAATTTAAAAAATAGCAGCATGTAGAATATCTGTCGCAGCTATTTTGTAATTTTGAAATTTAACGTTTTTTTATTTTATTTTAAAAGTTTAAGGTAATGTTCTTCTTGCCAAAACGAAACAATCTAGAGTAATAAAACTAGTGTGCAACCAAATGAAAAAAATTACATTGATTATATGACGATGAATTGCGAAACAAAAATTCCAATTTTACAATTTTTATTGGAACTCAAACTCAAACTTCCTATAGTAATTTTCGATGCTCTTTTCGAAACCGGAGTCCGTTATCCCCTAAAGCAAGGGTTCCCAAACTTTTTTCACCCCGGCAGCCTTGTCGTGCTAAAAAAAATTTCGCGGCACCCCTACTCTTCAAATGCAAACTTTATGCTCAATTAGCTTTATGGTGAGGACTGAAATCGTTTTGATGATTTTATTATTTCCTTTAAGTTTTTTGGGGGCTTTGACAATTTTACCCTGAAATCATTTGACGCTAAAAGCTTGCTGGTGTATTTGTTTTTAACCGACTTCCGCATAACTTTGGACCACGTTAACCGATTACTATAACACTTTTTTTAAAGGAAAGGAAAGGTTACCTCACAAGTGGTCAAAT